AGGGAGATCTCTTAATTACGAATTTGTTGATAAAAGGGGCACAGACTTACATCATCCACCGGCAGATAATCTCGGACTAGTGCATAGATACTGATCAAGAGATCTAGTATAGCGAGGTATGGACGACAGAAGTGCATATTAATCGGCTACGCCAGCAGGGGCCCTTATTCTGAATTGGTTAGAAATGAAATTGACGAAAAATAAATTAAGGCAGCCGAATAAATTAACCTTTAAAAATTTTTTTTTTTTTCTTTAAAAATAAAAAAATCTCTCATAAACAGATTATTTTGCCAGAATTTTTATAAATACCCTTTATGTATTTAGATCGTCGTATGTTAAGAAAACAAACTGGGAAAATAAAATAAATGATCCATAGTAAAAAACGCAAATGGTAAACTGTTAGGAAACTGAAACATGTTATTATATTATCGATACTATTTTGTACGTAACAAATATTTAATATTGAATTGAACAGTGTATTTACTGTAATTGGTGAAATTAAAATAGGAATATTTCCGTTATTTTATCAGCTGTATTAAAAAATCGGTTTATTATGAAATACATATATGTCTGGCATATCGTTCAATTTAATTTCAATATTTGATATTCTTAAAATAGAAATTAATAAGTGTCAATGTGTTATAAACGAGAGTATTTGGTGAAGATAGTATACCCACTATCTACATTAGGTTATTAAGGCAAAATATTTTTGTACATAATATTTAAACTTTTTTTTAATTTTTGATGGTGACTTCTTGAGATATTTTTTACCAAAAATAAAGCTGTTTTTTAACTAAAACTGTGGCTAAAATATGGGTTTCTGTAAATACTCACCGGCACGTAAACGTATTGTATATTTATTTATACAAAAAAAAAAATATTTGATGATTTTTTAAGCAACTTGTATATTTTGCAAATTAAACAAAAAATGAATTTGAAGGTGCCCGGTGGCGATGGCGTAGAGGTACAGGTCTCGTCTACCAATCTCAAAGGTAAGTGGTTTCGATTCCCACACCCGGAATTGCATGAGCGACTATTTTTAATTCAAAAATACAAATAGTATTGGGTACCCTAGGTCGACTCAGCCTTAAATAGTACTTGGGATTCACCAATCCTGAGGTAATATAGGCGGTAAAGCGTAGTGCTAGCCCCATTACCTTCCTTGTATACCAAACGGCTCTAGTATGGCAAGCTGTACCTTGCTACGGCGTTGAACGCTATATACGGGAGCTATTATTATATATAAAAATGAATTTGTTAATTCTTCTTCTTCTAGTGCAGATCCATTAATGGACGTTTGCGATAACATTTTCCATTGCTTCTCTGTTCCGGGCGGTGTGTATTAACGACTGAACACTGAACATCGTGTAGCCCTGTCCACTGTCTAATATTCCTCAGCCAAGACATTTTCTTCCTTTCGATACCCCTCCGGTCTTCGATCTTGCTCTTGTTTGTTAATTTGCTATTTGTTAATTATACAAAGGAAAACAAAATGTTGATATTTCGCGAAAGTTTTAAACACTCTGTGGAGTACATTAATAAAGCAAAGAATTTAAAAATATTATCATATTTTTTTTTTTTTTTTTTTTTTTTTTTTTATATTTTTATTAAAATTTCTCAATAGCTTTTATTTTTTTTTTTTTTTTTTAGCCGACCATATCGTATGGTAGGCTATTAAGATCGGAAAAGAAAGTTTTTTAATTCCAATCCAAACATGAGTTATTTGGGTCATAAACTAACTAAATAGCAAATAATTTCATTGGTTGTCTGTCTGTCTGTCCTGTCGTCTGTTCCGCTACTACACGATAATCAAAAACCAGCTAAACCGGTTTTAAAACCAAATTTTGCCACAAAAATACTGTGGCACCGAGAATCTGGCCATTAGGTTTTTGATGGGGGTAGGGGGTTGATAAGGATGGTATGGGAAGGGGTTAACATTTTTTAAAAAATCGTAACTCCAAAATTACAGTAACTAGCGAAAACGCGGTTTTCAATTTCAGATTAGGAATCCATGTTGCAAACAAAATTTGTATAACATCAAAATCAGTCAACAAGTCGCCTGTTTTTGCAAGAATAAAAAAAAATTGGAAAAAATTTCCTTAAAAAAAGAACTGCCTACCAACTTTTTATTAACATATTTTAGTATGGGCGGATATACGTGCCTCCCGGCGATTTTTTTTTGAGATAACCTTTATCAAAAAATATGTTGAGCGAAAATATAACATTAAAAGAAACAACAAAAAACAAGCTTTGAAATTTCAAAATTTCTTATATATACAAATCAGTTTATAACGTTCTTCGACGTCTTCTGATTTCCAGTCTCCATTGGTCTCTGTCTGTCCAGAGGTTTTCGTCTCTTCCTCTTGTTCTGATGTCCCCGTCTATTCCTTCTCTCTAACTCCGTCTAGGTCTCCCTCTCTTTTGCGTTTGCCTTGTGGTGTCAAATTGAGTATTTTTTTCGGGATTCTGTTCTTTTCCATTCTTTGTACGTGCCCGTACCACCTGAGTTGGTTAATTTTGATGTCTTCTGTTATTCGGTGTTATGACGCCGGGGGGTTTTTTTTTTTTTTTTTTTTTAAATAATTCAAATAAATTCATCGGATTTTGCTTGATTTCCGGCCGCCGCCGCCTCCAAATGTCCATTCCTGTAGCTTCGAGTAACTTAAGGTTTCTTTCTTTCAAAGGCACCATATTTCACTACCATAACTAATGATTTTTTAACTATGCTGTTATAAATTTTGTGTTTGTTTTCTTTTGATACGGCCTTATCCCATGAAATACTGTTTAGGTTGTCTACAATTGCTTGTCTCCCTGGTTTGTTTCTGCACCTTCATTTCTTCATCAAGGCTACCATCGTTGGTAATGTGCATGCCAAGATATTTAATATCTTTTGGCAAGTGTTTTATTTCTGCTGTCTTGCTGTTGCTGTTGGATTAAGTTCTGTTGTTTGCCACCGATATACATATATTCCGTCTTCTTAAGTTTACCTCCAGCCCCCACTTGTTATACTCTTCAACTAGTTTGCGGGTCATATATTCCCAGTCCTCGTAGTCTTGAGCTAGTATTATTTGATCACATCATTCTATGTCATCAATATCAGGAGCTGACTCAAGTGATCCAGAACGAATCGTTCGTATTCAATGGTATAACCTTGACGATACCATCTGTTCACACTATCTCTGTTGTCCATCTATCACGCAGATTTACTCAGGAGACGAGGACCTCTCGCTCTCACATATATAGCCGAATTAAGGAAGCATGTTGGAGCTGAGTTATAAAGGCTTCATGAGTCTCTCGGACCGACATAGAGTTATTTGGAAGTTATAGAGATATCATATTAGTGATTACTGTTTGTCCGTGTGGGTGTGTTACTTAAGAGTTGTGAGTGTACGTGCTGTCACGATAAAATAAGTTTCTTGACAGCCTTAAATTAATGTTATGCTAATATTCGTTTTCTCGAGGGCTTCCCACAATTTAGCCTGGGGTACACTATCATATATGCTTTCTTGAGGTCTACGTAGAGGAGATGTATTTTCTTGAATTTCCTTGCCATCTTTTTCTCAATTATCTGTGTCGGTGTAAATAAATGGTCGACCGTGGATCTACCAGCTCTAAATCCCGATTGTTCTTCAGCCTCCATATCCCGGTATTCTTCCTCATTCTTTTTTTGACCAATTTTCCATAGAACCTTGAAACAGAGCTCAGCACGGAAATTCCTCGATAGTTATCGCAATCGTCTTTACTTCCTTTCTTGCGTATTGTTGTTATATATGATGTCTTTCATTCTTTCGGTATTTTTTCACCATTAAGGCACTTTTTGAAAAGACTAGCGAGCTGCTTATATAATTTATTCGTGCCGTACTTGAGTAATTCTGGAGGAATTTCACCCGGACCAGGCGATTTTCTATTTTTCAGGTTTTGGCAAATTTGTTTTACTTCTTTTTGGTATTGATCCTCAGTGGAGAAGCTGCGGTTCTTATTTGAATGTCGGATTGTGGCTGAAATTTTGTTGATATTCGGCCCTTTCTTCGGTCAACAGTTAGCAAAATATTCGTTCCATTTTGATAACAGGATAGAATCTCCGCTCCAGGAGATGATAATCTTCAAGTCTTCATATATTCGAGACGGGGACCTTCATCAGTGTCTCCAGCTTTCGGTACTTCTACTTCCTTATATGTAATTAATTCTTGTGCAGACTTTTTCCTTTCCCAGCTTTTCGTTTTTCTTTTTTGTTTATAGATTTTTTTT